CAGAGCTATGTAGATCCATCGTCACAGTACTGTTGTCCATGCATTAATTTGATAACTGAAGGTTTATGTACCTTAGTGCATATAGAAAAATCAATGTGCATATCAGATATATATAAAGATATTTATAATTGCCAGTACGATAGTTGGCGCACTATCCAATGCAGCGCAGTAGGCGTTGGATTAACCTTCTCAGTGGCGATTTATATTCCGTCGTATTTCTAGAATTATCAATGTATGCGACTGTTACGCCTAGGGGTAGTTACAATTCCCTGTACGGTAGGCGGCACAAACACCAGTAGATTATCTTAGCCATTGTATTATTCCGTACAGTGACGTTTTATATTCAATTGTAATTATAAATTGACAATGGACTAACCCATTATCGCCCGAGATATTATAAAATTGACGAAACCGTACTGTGTACAGTCATCATCACAGTAAATTCGCCTTTGAACTGACTAGCTCACTGATAACTTAATTTTAACAGCAATTCTAGAGTAACCAATCTATAGTATGGTAATGTCTAGAGGTATCTACACATGGCAGTACTGTACTGAGTATAGGCAGCAACATAGCGCTGTATCCTTTGAATAAACATCTTCAATGATAATGCAGGTCATATAGCAACTATTGAATGACAAAGGACTTATCCATTACCGCACGAAGTATTAATAGCTGACAACACAGTTCTAAGTACAGCCATCATGCTAGTACTCGAGCCGATGCATTAACCATTTTAGTGATGATTTATGTAACACGGTAGTTCCAGGGTAAGCAATTCATACATCGCTTGTTTGCTTAGATATTTGCAACACCCAGTACGGTAGTTGGTGCGTCCACCAAGAGAGCATTTCAGCCATTGTACTATTCTGCTTAGTGATGATCTATATCATACTGGTGCTATAGAATGACAAAGGGCTGGCTCATTATCGCTCGAGATATTAACAATTGACGAAACACTACTGTGTACAGCAATCACCACAGCACCTTGTACGTTGTACGAATTTGTACACCCGAATCTAAAATTTAACTGCAATTCAAGAAAAATCAATGCATTGTACGGTCATGGCTGAAGACATTTACAACTGACAGTACGGAACTTAGTATATCCATCATCAGAGCACTGTAACTGTTGGAAGACGTTTTCTATGACGATGTATATACTATAGCAACATTAGGATGACAAACGACATATCCGTTGCAGGTCAAGGTATTAGCAATTGCCATAACGGCATTGAATACTGGAATCATTACAGTTCCGCAGCCGTTGGATTTATCAGATCGCTTATCATATAAGGTCCACTGCAATTCTCGAATGGCAAGTGACTAACCCATTATCGCCGGAAACATTTGCAACTGACGAAAGGGTCCTGAGTTCAGCCACGATCACAGTGCTTTAACAGTTGGGCTAATTTGTTCACTGATAATACAATTTTAACGGCATTTCTAGAATAACCAATGTGCAGTACTGTTATAGATACAGATTTCTGGAGTTGACAGTACATTATTTCGCACATCCACAACAGAGCCATGTAGCCGTTGAAAAAGCCTGTTCAAAGTTGATGTATATTCTATAGCTGCTCTAGGATGCAAAAGAGGGATGCGTAACAGCCAAAGGTACCAGCAATTGCCATAACGTCTCTGAGTACTGCCATCACCACAGTTCTATAGCCGTTGCGTTAATTTGATAACTGAGTCCATAAATTTCACATGAATTCTAGAATTATCAACTCATATGTCAACTGTGGCCACACACTCTAACAAACGTGACTGCGGTACTTGCTACGTGCACTAATAGAGCACTGTAGCCGTTGCACTAATATGTTCCCAGAGGATTACTGTTCCACGGCAATAGTAGAATAGACATTGTGTGTGTTATTTATGGCCAAAAATATTTGCAACTGTCAGTACGGTACTTAGTATGTCCACCAACAGAGCACAATAGGCGTTGGACTAGTAGGTTCACTGATGTTTCAAACTGTGCAGCAACTATGAAGTGATCAAAGCATGGATCATTCATCTGTGGTGGCATAGTCAGTTGACAATACCGTACTCAGTGTAGCCATTTACACAAAATTTTAAGCATTGAACTAATCTGTTCGATGATCAACTAAATTCTTCAGCAGTTGTAGAATATTCAATGCATAAAGAAATTATCGGTGGCGACTTTGATGTATGTAAATACAATACAGAGTATACCCACCTACATTGCTCTGTACACGTTTGAATAATGAGGTCACTGAAGATACATGTTCTATAGCTGTTCAAGGGTTACAAAAGGGAGATGCATCGTCCCATGGGGTAATAACAATTGACAAAACGACAATGAGTATAGCCTTCTTCGAAATAATGTGTCTGTCGTTTTAACTTGTTCACTGATGACCTAGCTTCCTCAGGAATCTTAGAATAATCAATAGTTGTATTAGTTATGTCTAGAAATTTCGACAACACAACGTACGTTACATACAACGTCCACCAACAGAGCTTGTATCAGTTATGTCTAGAAATTTCGACAACACAACGTACGTTACATACAACATCCACCAACAGAGCACTGTTGCCATCGTGTTAATTTGTTCACTGACGATGAATGTTGCACCGCAATTCTAGATTGATCAATGCACAGGGCGGTTATGTTTAGTGATATTTACAGCTGACAACAAGGTACTTAGTATATCTACCAATTGAGCACGGTAAACATTTCACTTACCTGTTCACCGATGATTTATGTCAAATGTAAGTAATAGAATGGCAAAGGAGAGGTACATTGTAGGAATGGTGTTCCTTTATCTATTCCTGGGCACGTCTGTCAATTGCGAGGGAATGCTTGGGCACTTCTCCGTAAATAAATAGCGATAAACTGGCGTCTCGTGCTTGACTCGAGCGTCCGGGGTATTATCTGAAGTGTGTGCAGGAGGATGAGTGACCCTCCTCAAGGATCGTGCGAACGGGACGTTTATGAATGTGAAGGTTACGAGTGAAGAGTGTCTCCAGGAATACATTTGAGTGTTTAGAGTACGCGGCCCACTGAGTGCGAGGCATCGAAGAGTGTTTGGGAAACCGTGAATGGGAAAGATAGCACGGGCAAGAAAGAGGATGGAGTATGGGGTTTAAATAGGGATGCGAGGTGGCAAAGCGTGCAGTTTGATGGAGTATGGTGCAGTACGTTAGATTATGTTGCAGTATACTGTGTTATGTTGTGGCATTTTTGAGCACGTCTTTCGGGCAGTTCCTCGAGTAGTTCTTTGAGAGGTGGTGTGTGCAATGATCGTAAGCCTAGAATAAGTTCGTTATCAATAAATTAGTCCTATTCGGCAGCACCGAACTTTTGCTGCCTTAATAAATAAAATTCCTACATAAATTGGTGGCTCAGGCGAGATAAAGCCTGCAAGAAGGAATTCTTTGGATTAAAGCGGTGCAAAGAAGATATAACTGGCAACAATGTTATTGGAAGCAATAAACAGCCAGCAAACCATGGACAACCTTGATATTGGGGAGATTGCGAGGAGCTGCAATCCGTGTTCCTGGGAAGCGAAAGATTTTCAGAAGACGATCCGAGAAGCTCTAACGAAGGCGTTAGTAGCTGCAGTGCCGAAGATAGGAGCAACATTTGTTCCAGCGTGCTCATGATCATTCAGCAGCGAAGAAACAGGAGCGGTGAATGTTAGAATTACGACAGTCGCCAATATTTTGGACCATTTCAATGGAAGGAGAAATCAGAACGACCGTCCGTAGATTCTGGCGCGTTCTCCCCAAAGCACATGCACGCTGCCGCCGGAGTCGTACAAGTACTTAATCGTGCCTCGTCTTTTTGGTAGAGCCTGGGAGTGGTATGAATCGAGCCCGACCTTATCGCCATGACGGCCGATGGTCTAAACGGGGATCTACGGAGAAGGTTCCGTTGTCAACCGTGCCAGCCCGTGAACGAACACGCACAGCCCCCCCCCCGCGGACAGGGACATGTCACGAGGAAGAAGACTTTCGAGCTATATCCCAACATTAGGGGAAATGGAAGAAAGCATATATACATTTGACGGCGAAGGGGCAGAAGATGAAATTGTGTGGCTTTGTGACTTCGATGAAATTGCGGAGGATTGCAAATGTTGCGATAAGCAAAGGGCCTGTTACGCTAGAAGGCTACTTCGATGAACCGCAGAAATTTTCAATCGATATGCAGGCATGGGTGTATCGTGGCAAGAATTTAGGAGCAAGCTTATGTCAGAAGTGGCACGTGCGTTTGTAACAGCACATAGCAAAGACGATGTTGGAGACAAAGATGGAGACGAAGATGTAGACGAAGCTGGATACAAAGCTGGAGACATGGCTGGGTACGATGATGGAGGCGGACCAGGAGACGAAGATGGAGACGTAGCTGGAGACGAAGCCGGAGACGAAACTGGAGACGAAGCTGGAGACGAAGCTGGAGGCAAAGCTGGATACATAGCTTGAGGCGAAGCTGGAAACGAAGATGTAGATGGACTTGTAGGCGGATTTGTGGACGAAGTTGGCGACGAAGATGCAGTCGCAGATATGAACGCAGATGTGGATGAAGATGAGCACGAGGTTGAGCACGAAGGTATGCACGTAGGTGAGGACAAGCATGAGCACGATGGTGAGGAAGAAGGCGAGGATGACAACAGCAGACGGAAGTGCGTGTACGAGAGAGGTCAGGTAGGCTCAATGGATGCGGGCACAAGACCAAGCGCGGATGTGGTGCGACCCGTGCACAGGAGGGACCTTATGGGTAACAGCAGGGCGTCGACCGTGGTTCAAGGCGGAACAGAGAGCGACTGCTGCGAGTAGCGATCTGGTACTGATCCAGAAACACCGGGGTGCCTGTTCAACCAGAGGGAACTGAGCACCCCGCATATCAGTGATCATCCTCCGCCGAGCGCAACAGTGTCGTCCATTGGCAGCGGAGGGTCCGTGAATCCCGACATCTGGCCGTTGGCGTACGTGGCGTGAAGGGACGGGGAACAACTGAATTCTACGCAAACCATATGGACTGGTCATTCGTCCCTAATGGAAGGAAATTGTTACGGTACGGATCGGGACTGGAAAACGACGTGTATTCTGAAGGCCTGACTGAACGACCAGGAGGAGAACCCGTACCCGATAAAAGGAGAGAGGACCATGCCGACCATCATCATGGAGATGGCGCTGGCCCGAGTGTCCACGCAGTTCGCGAGCGCGCGAGGGCGAGCGAAGGGAAAGAACTATATGACGTGGAAACCGAGAAAGGTGAGAAATATTTGGGTTCCTGTCTTGCAGTGAACCAGGAGGCCGACGCTGTCCAGATTAAGAAGGCAGGATTGAGCGGGCTGCTGCAAGCAAGCGACGACGAGGAGATACAGGATGTGCTTCCGGCAAAACAAGCGATGACGAAAGGAACGATGACGCGAGCGACGGGAAGAGCAACAATGTGGTCAATGGAAAGACCGATGGTACGAACGACGGTGAAGATGAGAACGAAGACGAGGACGAGGACGAGTATGTCGACGAAAATGGTTTCGGGAACGAAGACGAAGACGAAGGCAAGAACGAAGACGAAAGTGAAGAAGAGAATGAAGACCAGAATGAACACGAGAATGAAGACGAGAACGATGGCGAGAGCGAAGACGAGAACTTAGACCAGAATGAAGAGGAAAGTGAGGACGAGAACAAAGACGAGGACGAAGACGAGAACGAAGTCAAGAATGAAGACGAGAACGGAGACGATAATGAAGACGAGGATGAAGGCGAGAGCGAGAACGAGAACGAAAACGAGAACGAAGGCGAGAGTGAATATCACGAGGACAAGGACGAGGCCAAGGACGAAGGAAGCGCGGCTGGGGGCGAGGGCGAAGATTTGGAGGAGGGCGATGGTGCGGGCGACGGGAATGAGCCACAGCGAAGACGAACATAGGGACAAAGAGAAGGACGTGGACGAGGGTGATGACGAGGAGGAGACGCACTGGAAGAGGTATCAGCACCCCGAGGGGATGTCGGTACAACGACGGCCAGAGGTGCAGTACGGTCCTTGACCGTGGCCGTCTCCGACCAAGTCGGGCGTCTACGACAGTGTCAGCTTGGCAGAAAAATTGGAAAATGCCTTCTTTCTTAAAGTACGGCAGAAGACCAGATGAAATTGTTCTATACATGGAGCGTGTATGAGCATCCTCGACAGCTGGAGTGATTGTACGAGTGACGAATCGCGATATATAAGGTCAGATATCATTTGCAGGAGCGGCTGGGTGTAGGAATGGTATTTCCATTGTCTCTTCCTAGGTGTGTCCGTAAAGCGCGAGGGAACGCTTGAATAATTCTCCGTATATAAATGGCAACGGACGGAAGTCTCAGGTTTGACACGAGCGTCCGAGGTATTATCTGGAGTGCGTGCGGAAGGGTGAGTGACAGTACGCATGGATCGTGTGAGCGGGACATTTATGAATATATCGGTTTCAAGCGAAGAGTGTCTCCTGGAATGCATCCGAGTGTTTAGAGTACGCGACCCACTGAATGCGAGGCAACGAAGGGTGCGTGGTGATGGGTGATTGGGAAGGAGATCATGTGCATGAAGGAGTACGGAGTATATGGTATAAATAGGGATGCGAGGGCACGAAGAGTGCAGTGTGGTGGAGTATGGAGCAGTATGGAGGAGTAGGTCGCAGCACGTTGTACTTAGTTTTGGTTTGATTGGGTACGTATGTCGAGCAGTTCTTCGGGTAGATCTTTGAGAGACAGTGAGTGCAATAGCCGTAAGATTCGAGTAAGTTGGTTATCAATAAATTAGTTTTATTCCATACCACCGAGCATTTTTCTGCCATTATAAATAAAATTCCTACAATACCTTCACCCGAGACGATACCAAGTACCAGTATAATGCTATGTACAACCATCATCACATTACAGTGGTAGTAGGATTAAGCTGTTCACTGATGATTTGAATTCCACAGAATATCTGCAATAATCAATGTATGCGTCAGTTATGTCTTGAGATATATACATTTCCCTGTACGGTAAGTGGTGCATCCACCAGGGGAGCGCTGTAGCCCTTGGATTAATCTGCTCAATGAAGACTTGTGTTCCGCAGGAGTTCTAGAATAATCAATGGATACGTCTCTTATAGCTGGAGACGTTTACAGTGCCCCTTACGGAAATAGCTGCAGCCACCAATAGCACACTGTAGCCGCTGTATTCATGAGGTCAGTGAAGAAATATATACTATTGCAATTCTGGAGTGACAAAAGCCTTATCCTATATAGCTCGAGAAATTAACAACTGACACCAGAGTATTAAGCACAGTCATCATCACAGTACTGCAGCCATTGGATTAAATGGATCACTGGCGACATAAATTCCACAGTAGCTTGGGAATAATCAATACATACACCAGCTATGGATGGAGATATATATGGTCCCCAGTACGATATTTGATGCATCTAACTATTGGGCACCATAGTCGTTGGATAAATTTGTTCGCTGACGATGTAAATTCCAAAGCAATTCTGGAATAAGAAATTTATAGGACGGTTATGGCTACAGATATTTGCTATTGACAGTACGGTTCCCAGTATGTTCATTTACAGTGCACGGATGCTGCTGTATTCACCTATTTAATGATGATCTAAATTCCAATGCAATTCTAGATTGAGAAAGAACTGACGCGATGTTGCTCGAGACATTAACCATTGACGAAACAGTAATGAGTGCAGGCATCATCACATTATTTCAGCCGTTGGACTAAACCGTTCCCTGAGAGTTTAGGTTTAACAGCAATTCAGAAATAATCACTACATGGTACCGCCATGGCTAGAGATTTTTACAGTTCCCGGTACGGTGACTGGTACATTCACCAATGCAACAATGTAGCCGGTGGATTAATCTGTTCAGAAATGTTATATATTCTTTTGCAATTCTAGAATGACAATGGACTAACCTAATATCGCTCGAGATATTAGCAACTGAAAGCACAGTACTGAGTACAATCATCATCACGTTATTGTAGCCGTTGGGTTAATTTGTACACTTCTCACATACGTTACACTGCAGTTCTGGATTGATAAACGTATACATCAGAAATTGCTGGAGATATTTTCATTTCCCTATACGGTACTTGCTGGATCCACGGATAGAGCACTGTGGTCGTTGTACTAATCTCTTCGGAGATGGATAAAATTCCAATGCACGTTTTGGATTACCAATTTATAGCACGGTTGTGGCTAGATGTCTTTACAGTGGACAGAGGTGCCCTTATCACATCTATCAACAGAGCACAGTATTCGTTGGACGGAAGTGTTCTATGATGATATATGTTCTATAGCAATTCTAGAATAAAAAAACACAGATCCGTTACAGCCCGGGATATTAACAATTGTCATAAGAGTACTGAGCAGAGCCATCATCACAGTGCAATAGCCGTTGGACTATCTTCTTCACTGACAATGTAAATATAGCCGGAATTCTAGAATATTCAAGATATGGTACGTAATATGCGTACTGTATATTGATTAGTATAGAATTGAAGTAAAAATTAAACGATCAGTGAAAAATTCGTCCAACGGCTAAGGTACTACGGTGATATCAGGACTGAGTACTTCGTCGTCAATTGTTAAGTTCTCGAGCGATAATGGCTGAGTCCCTTGTCAGTCTAGAATTGGAATAGATTTTAAATCATCACTCCACACATTAATCCAGTGGCTACAGCGCTCTATAGGTGTTTAAAGTAACTACGGCACTGGGATTTGCAGAATATCTCTAGCCATAACTGATGCATGCATTGATTATACTAGAGCTACAGTGGAATTTAAATCATAAGTGAATAGATTAATAAAACGGCTGCAGAAGGTTGTGATGGCTGTACACTGCGCAGTATTATCAATTGCTAATACGCCGTGCTATAACGGATCTTCCTTTTGTCATAATGGAATTGCTATAGAATCTACATCAACATTGAGCAGCCTTATTTGACGGCTACAGTGCTCTGTTGATGGATGTAGTAAGTACCGATCTATCAATTGTAAACGTCTGCTCTCACAAACGCACCGAACAGATTAATCCAACGGCTACAGTGCTCTGTTAATTGATGTACTAAGGATCCGAACTTTCATTTGTACATATATCTAGCCATAACATATCTATGCATTGTTTATCCTAAAACTACTGTGGAGTCAAAGTCATCGATGAACAGAGTAATCCAATTCTACAGCGCTCTGTTGATGGATGTACGAAGAAACGTGCTGTAAATTGCAAAAATGTCTAGCCACATCCGTAGTGTATATTAACTCCTCTAGAATTCCCGTCAAACTGAAATAATCATTGTACACATTAATGCAACAGCTAAAGTAACGCAATAATTGCTGTACTCAACATAGTTTCGCCAATTGATAAGGTCTCGCGCGGTTATGGTACAGTTCCTTGTCATTCTAGGATTGAAGTAGGATTTAAAGCATCACCGAACAGATTACTCCAACGACACCAGTGCTTTACTGGTGGATATACCAAGTACCGTCCTGGGAATTGTAAATAAATGTATCCATAACTGATGTATACATTGACTATCCTAGCACTACTGCGGAAACTAAATCATCAGTGAACAGATTAATACAACATCTTCAGTACCGTGATGATGGCAGTACTCGGAACTGTTATGTCAATTGTTAATATCTCGAGCTATGACTAATATGTCTCTTATTTTTCTAGAATTGCTATGTAATTTATGTCATTACTTAACAGGTTAATCCAATGGTTCCAGGGCACTGTAGAAGCATGTTCTCGGTACAGTACTGTCAATTGAAAATGTCCCTAGCCGTAACATAACCATATATTGAATATTCTAGAATTGATGCTCAATTCATATTATCAGTGAAGAAATTATTCCAACGGCCAAAGAACACTGATGATGGCTGTGTTAAGCACCCTTTCGTCAATTGTTAATTGCTCTAGCTACAACGGATCTGCCTTTGTCATCCTAGAATTGCTGTAAAATCTAAATCGTCGTCGAAATTGCGAATCCAACGTTTACAGTGCACTGTTGATGGATGTACTGAGTACCGTGCTGTCAATTGTAAATTTCTCCAGCGGTAACCGTACTATACATTGATTATTCGGGAGTTGCGGTTAGATTCAAATATCAGTTGACAAATTAGTCCAACGGCTAAAGTACTGTGATGATGGCTGATTTCAGTACAGTTGCGTCAATTGCAATTAACTTTAGCTATGACGGATTTGTCCTTTGTCATTCTATAATTGCTACAGAAACTTAATCGTCACTGTACAGGTTTTTCTAAAGGCTACAGTGCTCCGCTGATTGACCTACTACATGCCGTACTGGGAACTGGAGGTATCACTGTCGATTACTGATGTACACATTGATTATTATATACCATCTGTTGAACTTAAGTCATCCGTGAACAGATTAATCTAACGGCTGCAGCACTGTGATGATTGCCGTACGCAGTACTGTTATGTCAACAGCTGTTGCCCCGAGCTATAATGGGTCTCTCTTTGGTCATACTAAAATTGCCATTGATAATAGATCACTATTGAATGCAGGTCAATCCAACTGCTTCAGTACTCTGGTGGTGGATGTACCGGCAATCGTAATGTGAATTGTTAATATATCTAGCCTTACCGGTTGGGCACATTGGTTAATCTATAAACACTGTGGAGTTTAAGTCTTCACTGATCAAATCAATCCGACGGATACCGAGCTCCATTGGTTGGTGTACCAACTACCATACCGGGAATTGTAAGTATCAATAGCCAGATATGATGCATACATTGATTGTGCTGCAGCTACTGTGGAATATAAACCATCCCCGATGAGATTAATCCAACTGATACAGCACTCAGGTGATGGCAGTACGCAGTACTGCATTTTCCATTGCTTATATCTCGTCGGATAATGGACCAGCATTGTTCATC